TTTTGGCTTAGAAGAGGGTGATATTCGGTCTGCATGAACCAGCCAACGTGACACTTCGATTAGACTGAAGTTGGGTAAGTGCTATAGCAGCTGTTAGTCTACTTCGAAGCTTTTACGACCAGAGCTTGGTAATTCTTGACATGCCAATCGATTCACATATTTCCATTCTTCAGTGTTCCGAATTCTCTTGAAATTCGCTATTTAGCTGATCTCTACATCAACCGATGAGTCAGGGCTTGCAAGGAGGCTTGAATCATAGTGGTATCTGCAGGCACGCGACCTTTTGTGCATAGTTGCAGCCACCAATGTTATTCTGCTTCCAATGAGCATGCAGCGTTAAGCACTCCTCTCTCTTCATCTTGCAGGGTACAAATGGAGTTTCATCCTCTCCAGGGTAATGAAACTTTGGAATACTTTCCCATCTTTATGGTTGTACTTTTCTAGTCGGCGTGACTTCATCGACACATCCATGAAGATTAAATCGGCGAGCAAGTTATCCGAATTTACAGTTGTCAGTCTACTGCGCTCACATCAGCGGGGAGGCAGGCCTGTGCTGCCCCAACAGGCGCTCCGCTACCCGCTGTTCTAATCGCCTGGGCTTCATTTTCACACTCTTGCCAACAAAACTACAACTTGTAGTTTTGACTTAGCAAATGACTTGATCAAATTCAGACAGGGAACCAAACGCTTGACTGCGATCCCAGCCGTTGGCTGAGCGGGGAGCGGCCGCGTCAAACCACACAGTGCAGCTACCGGAATCCCACCTCACGTTCCGTCGGCAGACCTCAAAGTTCAGACTCAATACAAACCTATCACTACTGAATGTTTCTTGGAAAAAGCTCCGCCTTCCCCTCTCCACGACCTTCCTAGTTCGTGAAACAGGAGAGGATGGGGGCAGCTAGTGGGCGCGTAGCTGCACTTTCTTGGAGCTCTAGCCATTGATATCTAGTCGCAAATAGCATCTAGTTCACGCGCAACCACAGTGCTCCTTGTGGTGTTAAGCTAACAGTAATCTGAAAGAAGTCAGATATACGAGCGCTCAAACCAGCGTGTCAACTGCTTAGTACTTCTTACTTAAAATGAAACTCATGTAGTACATGGTGACAGTCTAGCTTAGCCTTTCACAGTTCGCTAGTGAACGTGTCCTGTTGCCACGGCCCATCAACTGAAAACATGAGCCGTTAGTTTACTGAATGCTGGAAACAAACAAGCTACACATTTTGCAGCAAAGTTTCCGTAGAGCCCTTGCATTCCATCTGAGGGCTGCTTGGAAACCGTGTCTGAGCTGGCTAGGACAAGACAACACAAAAACATTCGCATTGAGCTCGCCTACCGAACACCTGCGCTATTGTTTCACAGATGTCACGCTCCATCCAAGCTCCCAACCTAACATGCATTCCGAATCGCTCAGCACTCGGGGGCACCTTGATTTAAAAAAATGTTCAGCGCATGCTTCTCAACTCGACGGAATAAGTAAAATGACACCAAGGGTAGTGATATTTTACTATTGGCACAGTTCCCACCTATGCTATACGCCCCTATCGTTCAAAAAAGTGCATTCTGAGTTAACATCGTATTTTCTTTTCTTGGTGATTCCAAGCTCGTTCCCTATGCTGTGGCTTCTCTGGCCTAGTGCTCCTTTGCTTGACATAAGCAGCCGCTTGTACCGTCCGTATCTTTCAGGCAACTTATTTCACAGTCTTTCCACTGACAGGCTTAGTTTTCCTCATGTATCACGCTTATATATCAAAAAACTACGAGAGCCTAATCTTTCACGTATTGGCGATGTTCTCCTAACCTCCCAAGACTGTTTCTACATACTGAATATGTGTGCTCATACACCAATAACTTCTCCCACCGGCACACATATGGCATTAAAAACGCCATCAGACTTGTTTATTTCACGCGTCATTTGTCATGTGGACGGATCTTTCACTCGGTTTCCTTTGCTTTTTCGATTCGATAGTGGACGAAAGGACCGGTTGAACGTTGGGCCTCATGATATGAAGAAAAGGATTGGCTACTGAGCGAAACCATGAGCGAAATGCGAAGATTTAAAAAACATATATCCACAAGCGATAAACAAGCGTGGGTAAGTGATGAGACAGTCGCAAAGGTGGCACAAGAACACGACTGCGTGAATCAAGCGCCGACAGCTGTGGCCTTGGCCCCGGCGGACGAACCGGATGTCGTGCTATCTTTGCCTCTTGTGTCCCTATAAAACACCTTTGCTTGAGTCTTGCTCAAGGAGGAGCTGTCTTTTGTCTGCAGAAGGCACACCGATTTGTTTCAGTGTGCCTGAGAGGCACAGCTCGCAAACCGCTGCCCTCGCTTTCCCCTCGGACGTGCTGCTCACTGCCTAGTCTGCAAACTCTGCGTGCTCCGACAGACCTTTCCAAAATATTTATTTGAGGTTCTTACACTCTATCAAGCATACGGATTCACGGATTCTGTGCTACCTTGCAGCAGCAGCGCCATATCCTTGTATAATTGAATAAGACCTTGTTCTTAGCACTGAATCAAGCCGTTTACCGGTTAAGGAAAACCCGAGCAAGAAGAATACAGGGATTCACCGTCCAAAAAACTACACAAGCACTGAAACGAAACGTGCTTTTGACGGATAGAGCCACCCACCTGATGCTCTGGTGGACGCTGCACGGACTTATCTAACAATGCAGAAGACTACACGGCTAGCTCATGTTCTGCCTCTTTACGCAGCATCACTGCTAATAAACAATGGAATAGCTGCTGGGGTTTTTGTAGGGAGGAGGACACTGGCTGATGGAAGAGCCTCTCTGGTCATGGGGACACAGGAAGCAAATATAAACGATCCTTTGTCATCTATTGCTTTGCCTTCCTATGAAACAGAGAGCTTGGGAGATGCAAGCTCGCTGCAAGCTTTTGATGATGCCGCGGAGTCGTCCTTCGTAGAATCTTCAGGCGATGAAGACAGTGATGAGGAGAACAAGGACAAAGGCAAAGACAGCCAGACGAAAGAAGATGAGGCAGCGAGCAGTCCAAAGGACCATGAAGGCCATGGGGAGGGTAGCAAGTCCGAGGAGTCTCAAGAGTCGAAGAAAGCGACAGATAAGGACGAGAAGGGGAAGGCAGATGATGAATCAGAGGATAAAAAGAAGGAAAAGGAAGTGGAAGACGAACACCAAAAACACGAAAACCTCCTAGCAAGTCCACAAGAACAATCAAGATACATAAGATCCAACATGAATTTGGCTTCAAAACAAAGTGTGAGATCATATTGACCTAGGGTATAGAATATATCAGAGATATGCAACAATGCGTCTTGGCATTCTTGAAGCTTTTTTGACCTGATTCCTGAATAGATGTATAGCATTTGCATATGCGTAAAACCTAGACGTGCTGTCGCGTACCTGCGTAAAAATTTTAGCTTCCTCCCCTTTTTTTGTGCCTTTGTTGCACGTCCTTTCTGTTTGTACGTGGTCTACTCAGTGATCATTTGTGTTGAAGCTCTTCTGTTGCCAGCCGAGAGACTTTTCTTGGCATGAAATTGCTCCCTCACCATGCTCTAAATGATAATATTTACTTGTTCACGTATGTATAATCGCCTATCTGTGCATGTAGCTGGTTACAGACATTTCTGCTTGTCCGACCTCACTGCCTGCTTGTCTGTTACAGTATGCAGCCATGAAGAGCCTGGTGAAGGTTATGGATGCGCTGAATGGCGTTGTTGCTCTGCTGAACCAAATAGTTCAAGTAGCGCCTCCTTCTCAATTCGCCGAAACAGTGATGTTTGAGTCTTTGGGGAAAAAATTATCGTTGAAAGGGCTACTCGATCAAGCTTCCACCGTACGTGGCAGTGTAGACCAATTATTTACTCTCCTGCTATCGGCCAAACACTCGATTATCGGCAACATCAACCGAGCTTTACCCGTTCGGCCGTCCCCTACACCACCACCAAAATAAGTATGGAAAGTATAAGGGACAGCGACGAGTATATGGATATATAAGGGCCTTACAGGATGTAGAAAGATGGAGAGGAGAAAACAAGGATCTATTGGATGCGCGCATTGGCATAGGAAGGTCCGTAGTTCGTTACAGTTGCTCTACTTTCATTTTTAGAAAAGGCGAAGGAAGGGATTGTTTAATGTTTTTTCAGATCGAAAGGGTTTCCTTCTGTATTCCTTTAATTTGAGTACAAGAACAAAGCCACACTCAACTGACATAACCTAAAGAGACCAGGTATTTTGTACTATTGGGCTGATTCGCCCCACTTTTCCGGCTTGGCTAGAAGGGATAGGGTTAGGGGATAGACATGCCCTTACGCAGGACCTGTAGTACGTACTTTACACATGAGTAGGAAAAGTAATATACGTATGAACGCTGCATGTACTTGCTGTGTAATTAGTATACAACTCAAACGCACTATTTAGGTTCGATGCATACTCTGAGCTGCACCTGTAGAAAGCAAGCAGCCTCGCTCGTTGATGGCGCCCCGCAGTGCCCTTGGCTTGAACTTTCGAGTTTTCGCGTGAAATGCACGCCTGAGTCATGACTACGATCACACGCTCTGAAGTAGGTGGCTAAAGGAATCAATTACCCACTTCACCTACCGCCAAATTTGTACGTTTCTCGCGCTCATGCATAAATTTAAGGCTGCCCTGCTACCTGGGGCGTGGGAAATGATAAGCGACAGTGTGTTCTTCCTTTAGAAGAGAACTCCAGGTCTAGACGTCATCGCAGTCCTGACTCGGAGAACTAAAACCTGGCAGCAGCCAAAAATTTCAGCTAATCAGAAACAGCCGTTCCCTCTACATCAGACGCAGAATCTCAACCTCATGAGCATAGTACCACACTCCTCAATATGTAACAAGTCAAGGAGCAGTATTAACATCTGCAGTTACTGCAGTCCCGCAACAGCTTTGCTTTCCCCTGGTTTTCTTCCTACACCCCCGACACGCAGTTCAACGAACGTGAATAACATGCGTAATGCGTTGCGGCAGCATTATACCTTCAGCTGGTAACCCTTGCCCATAAGCGAGGCCCATATTACATACACTCCAATTGGAAGTCCCCCCGCGTTCATCTCGCAGATACACATGCTCACGTCCATACAAAAAGATCCTAGCTGCTTAAAAATGTTATGCATGCCCCCTGTGTACAGCCTTGCGGTAGTTTCGCTACTGGAGCTCTCCACTGGTTCCCCTTTCCCAAATACAACTTCCAAGCTCGCACCATCCGCACCTCCTACATGCAAAAGTGTCAGCTGCCTGAAGTAACAAAGTAACTCGTTACATGATAGACAGAAGTAGCGTGTAGCGATGTACACGTCTACCACTTTTGTAGCCTATGCATGCGCTTAGCAACGGCTTACATAGGCCAGCAGAGCGCGCCTTGAGTAACTGAGCCACTGGAGAAAGGAAGGAGAGGAGCAGGAGTGACCAAAACATTGATATGGGTTCTAGGTTGGATTAGAACAGTCGCGAAAATAGTAAAAGAAGAGCAACAGCAAATCAGCCAAGGGTATGTGCACTTTTACGGAAACGCACATGAGTGTGACCCCATCCTCTGGCCTTAGTGACATATTCCAGACGCCGGTAAGCGCCATTGGCCCCAGCATGGAGTCCCCAAAGCGGTCCCAAATAAAACTAGCGAAGACGCTTTGTTTCGTTTGGCCTATAATTCGAGGATCTGGGGAGTTCGCCATGAATTTTTTTGCGAAGAATTACTACGGGTGCTTGGGTGATGGCAATGCGGCAGAATACCAGACACAGTGCCCTCCTAAGCAAGCACTCGACGTTCGCTTCATTTCAGATGTTCAAGAAAGAGTTTGTCAAGCCATAGGATAACAACATACCACTGGGTTGACTAGGATGCACAAAAATTACATTACCAATGGCACACCCCACTGCAGGGAATGCAATCGACATGGAAAGTGTTCTCCTCCAAGCCCGGAACAGCTGCCCCTCCCTAGTCTCCGCCCCTCCTGGTACCTTCCCTCATTATTGCTGAAATCCGCTCATTATCCCCTTTCGGTTAAAGAGAAATGTAAAATTCAGCTCAACATGATTCTCAACTGGAGAGCTTCTTCAGGTGATCTGTAGCGTGGGGCAGCCCCAGGGCCTTGTTGCAAAACGCACATGCAGCCCGGACAATGCTGCATCACTGCTAACCACAGACGGCGCTATTTTAAAATATTTCCGAATCTCTATGACATATATAGAAGCATCTTCCAGAATATAGCTAGCCTGCTAGCATACATTTTGGAAAAGGATATGCTACATCTACATCCGGTTGCCCAGTAGCGCTGAGCATTTCTAATGTGGTACTCTTTGTGCAGAGATCGCACAACACACTCACAAAACGTCAAATGTGCTTTTTAAATATCTGAACGATATTGATTATGCACAGGTAAATTGCTGTAGTGGAGTGTCGGTCGCCTCTCTGATTCTGAATTGAGGGAAGGGCATCAGCCAAATTTACAGCTATGGCGCTCCACTGGAAGTCTCCTTAGGAATACACTGTACTCGAGAGTCAATACAAGAACGATATACATTGCTTTACTGCTGGTCAAGATAACTCTGTCCTTCCCCTGCCCAAGACCCTTAAAGTTCCTTACAGGAGAACCGAGGAAGAGCCAAAGTGGGCGCACCTGCACTGCCTTTAAGCATTCCAACCATCCACCGACAGTCGCATACAGCATCTACTGCATCAGGGAACAACACTACGTCTCTTTTACTGAGCTGACATCACTCTGCAATGTGTTACGTACGGGAATAGACAAACCAAGTACTCAATTCCTTACTCATCCTTAGTTAGATGTGCCAGATGTAGTAGAAAGTGGTTCAGTGTAGTTTCGCCCGCTACATAATCCTCCTCCCATATTAGAATACATGCTTTTGTGTCACTTACTTCTTCAGCGAGACCAGGTGCATGAAGGGAGACGGAAGAGCCCCCGCGCTACCGCTACCTTCGAGGCAGGTGCGAACGCAAAAATACTGCAAGCGACGCAAACAAGTATGTGCACCAAAGAGTAGAAGGTGAAGTGAACTAAAGAGAAGAGAGGCACACAAACTAGCCAACAAAAAGTGAGGATACGGCTGCTGAGGCGCACGTGGCTTGCTGTCGCTGAAGCGCTTAAATGTGGGAGACTGCTGCTCCCACACAACAAAAAAAGTATTTTGTTTTCCTTTGCTCAATAGCGCAGCAGTACGTTCGCGCTTCATAGAGCATTGTCTGCATGCAAGTAGAGCCTGTGGATGCAGCACAGTCGATTTGTACGATTCAAAATGAGCCAAAAGAAAGAATGTGCGAACAGCATCCCTGAGAGTACCTGCTCAAAAATCTGAGGGTAGACAAAATCCTGATAATTACCAACCGACTGTTAAAGGGGTACACAGGGGTGAAGGCGGCTACTCTAGGCAGAGTGTGCGCTGAATAAATAAGATTACCAAAGAACGTTAAAACTATATCGTCCATGGGAATTAGAAATGTAAACCAAACACAACCGAAAATTACCTTTCAAGCAAAGCAGCTCACAGATGATCCCCTGTCAGCAAGTAAGGCTGGGACTTTTTAGCACGTTTACGTAGAAGTGCTCATTTGATGTTCGATAGACTAACAATACATAACCTATTCGGCTTCCTGGGGACTCTTCACCTCCATACACGTCACTTGCTTGCTCGGATAAGTCAGCAATTAGTACAAAGAGCTTTAAAGCTTCTCTAGGAAACCGGTAGCTATGTTTCTGGGACACTTTCAGCTTTCAGGGAGTCGATAGAACAAGAAAGAACTTGGAAATGCAAGTGTACAGCAGATGGCCCCATTCACCTAAGCGCACACTGCTTCGTCTCTCGAATTATCGATGCACCTTATGAAGCCGTTGAACTTGCCCGAATCATATATGCTTACTGGAAAACAAAGCTAAAAGGAATCACAGAGCTGACCGCCGCATACCATTATTCCGTGGCCGGTTATCTAGAGTTTCGAGTGTGTATTAAGTGTGAAACATCCAGTTATTCTTAGGAACACTCTTCTTCTGAAAGTAGCTGCCGAATGTGGATCCATAGATTCAGGTCTGGAACACAGAGACGCTCCTCCGTGTAGACCGGGAAGGCAAGAGAGCAACAGGCAAGTGAGTGTGCTGCTAGATTACAAATCGAAGCAGCTTAAAAAAGAAAATTGAGTCACTGGATTGGATTTTTATGTGATCACTCAGTCTCGAGCACTGCACCAAAGGGCGGTCGGCACACTCTGCCCATTTGCTGAGAATGGTTCGTAGCGGTTATCCTGTGGGCAATTTGAGGGAGGGTATAGAGGACACTGCAGAACGCCCAAACGGGCTTCTGCTCCTTACAAGCAATATGACTGTTAGAAGCTCTCTATAAATTTAAGGAAATAAGCCCTGACAGAGGTGTATCAAGGAAGGAAATAAGCAAATCTGCTGAGTTTGATGACAGCGAAGTGGACGCCATCGTAACCCCTGGCCTTCGGCAGTCCAACAGCAACGATCATCGCCAGATTGCTTCAAACCCTTTCAGAAACCTGGCGGCCTTGTAAAGACCGGGCTTAGGAGAATTGTGCGGCTTCAGCTGCTGACATCCTGAGTATGGCAGCGCATACTCGTCTGGCACGGGACGCATCCCAGGCCAGCAGAAGAGCCCAGAGTTTTCCATTGTGGTGTGAGTCTTACCGTGCTCTTAAAGACGATGGTCATATGCCTTGTGCAAAGACCGCATTGCAGATGGAAGTCGGGATGTACAGGCGAGGGAGTCCTCGTGTTGCTTTAAACCAGAGTACGCCATCCTCAATGTGACAGTGCATCACCCTCTGCCATTCAGGGTACTGCCAAGAGTTCTGGATGCATGGGTGTCAAGATAATTTCAATAGAAGCCGCAAATAGTCTCAAAGAACATTACTTGCACTGCCCAATGGTAAAATGCTGGGGCGTCGGGAGAGCGCGTCGG